GGGATGTAAGGGAGGATGGGGAATAGTTTCCAGTGCTTCCCCCATCCCAATAGACTCTCAGCAGAGTGGCTCTGCTGTGCTACACACTGAGCTTCCATCTGTCTGGGTGGAGGTCATCAGGAATGTCTGGGACATCAGCTTGATCCTTGGTGGTCCACAAAGAGCTTCCTGAGCGCACGGGGCAGAAGTTGTATTATGGTGTGGAACATGCACGTGATGGTTAGATGGGGGCTCCTTTCTTTATATAGCAGTAAACCGAGGGTCCTCAACCATGCTACACTCCTTGGATACATCCATTCATGAGACCTAGGCTCACAGTGTAGGAGCCCACAGTGACCTAGACACTAAGAAATGATTAGGAGAAAACTAACTGAAGAAGGAATAGGGATTGTTTAGAAGGAGAGGGAGGGATGGTAGAGAGGGTGTCCATACTGAGACTAGCAGCTTGGGTCCTCTCTGTGCTGGGCTGCCATAGAACCCATGGGTACAGAGGTGGCATGCATACCACCTGGACCAGATTGCCTTTGAGGAAGGCCAGAATTGAATCCACTGCTCCAGCAGTGACCAGTCAGCAGGGTAGGAGCCAGGCTTCCTCTGCCTTCAGTTCAGCAGCTGGTGGGGTCTTTTCCTTTGGATCCACTTGGTAGGTTAGGGATAGTCTATAATGACTTGTCAGTCATTTTGATACACAAATGCTCCAGCTGATTTTTATGCCCCTGACTCCACTTTCATATACTGTAAAATGAGTCCATTGTGTTCTAGGGGGAAATCATGGGAGAAAGGAAGCTTAGATATGAACAAATCTCAAAAGGGAGGTTTTATTCTTAATCATAGTTTTTATTTTAAGGGCTGGGGTCTGCCTGCCTTTCATTTCCTTTAGACTGTGAATGGTATGCTTTTGTGCAGGCCCTTCTTCTGGCCTTATCAACTCACCTGATGGCCTGGCTCCTTCCTCTGGCCCTTTCCAGATGCCTGTGGTGCCCGGCGACCAGCCAGTTCTTCTTTCAGCATCCATCTGTTTCAACAGTTTGCTGCATTGTACTGAGAAGTGCTGCTGCCCCTCAGGCCCCACCTGCCCTGCCTGGCCTCTCAACTTTTAGCTACTGCTCTTGTCTTCTGTTGAGGGCAAGGGGAGGATAAGGCCATGGCCCTCTGGGGCCTTCTAGGTCATCTGCCCAGTGCCCTTGATGTCCATCCCAGTTTGCTGAGGGTCCTGCAAAGTCTCTGAAGTACTGGCCACCCAATGTTCCATCTCCAGGGCTGTTGGGAGCAGCAGACAAGGCTGGAGGGAATTAGCAAAGTGTGTCCTTGCACCAGGAGAACAGACTGCCAGGGAACCATCTGTAGGAATGCTAAGGGTGTAATCAGAAATGCTGGTCAGAACTTTACTTTCAAGGATTTTACTATGACTAGGACAAAATAATGGAAACCACAGGAAATGCAATTGAAGATCAAGGTTTCGTGAAAGAAAACATCCATTTGCAGCAGTTATCTTGAGTTTTTTAACATGGCAATTCAGAGCACCTAATACATTATAAGATGCTCTCTGTCCTTCCTATTCATGGAAAAAGTTGGGTCTAATCCTATCCACTCTGTGATGAAGCTCAATAAAAGGCGTGGAAAGAAAAGAGAAATGGCCAATATTTAGGTCACAGTGTAAGAGAAGTCAGGGGTTGTATGGATATATTCAGGTCACAATGGCATGTCAGGGTCACAGATGTTCAGGTCACATTGAGATGTTCAGGGTCATAGTGAGATGCTCAGGGTCTTATGGAGATGTTCAAGGTCACAATGAGATGTTCATGGTGGCATGGAGAATTTAGAGTTATATTAAAATTTTCAGGTCACATTGAGATGTTCAGGGTCACAGTGAGATGCTCACGGTCTTATGGAGATGTTCATGGTGGCATGGAGAATTTACAATTATAAAATTTTCAGGTCACATTGAGATTTTCAGGTTATAGCGAAATGTTCAGTATTGCATGGAGATGTTTGGGTCACAGCATTGCTTGGGGTCACAGGTAGATTTTCAAAGTCACATGGAAATGTTCGAGGTCACACATTCTCTCAGGTTATGGTGAGATGGTCAGGGTCACTTTGTACAATCGGTGTCATAATGGGGATTTCAGGGTCACCATGATGACTTTCAGGGACCTGGAAAGAACCATATCATTGGGTGTTGTATTAGGCAACTTTTGACCACTGTGAGAAAATACCTGAGAAAATCAACTTAGAGGAAGAAAGATTAATTTTGGCTCATGGTTTCAAAGGTTTTATTCTGTGTTCACTTGGCATCCATTATTTCTGGGCGTGTGTGGGATGGTGCAGTGAAATATAGCTGCTCACGTAATGGCAGCCAGGAAATAGAGAGAGAGTGTGTGTGTGTGTCAGAAAGGGGCTGGGGGACAAGTATAGCCTTCAAGGACCACCTCCTCCACTGGGCCCCACCTCCCAAAGTTTCTACCATCTCCCAGTAGTGCCACAGGTTGGTGATCAAGTCTTTAACCCATGGCCTTCAGGAGACATTTTAGACCCAAACCATAGCAGATGTCTTTCCACCTTCTCTGACCCTTTCATGAAGATCACCTTCCCACTGTCCTGCTGGAGGAGGCTGTGGTCAGGGTGTTGACATCTAGGAAGGACAACCAACTAACTCTGCATTTTGTGGTTGATGCCAGCTCCACTTGGTGAGGTGGACATGTGCTTGACTTCACCGGGTGGGTCATGCTATACAAAGACCAGCTCTATGGGGGTAGAGGAAGGTTCATGTACAGGATGGCCATTCTGTGGGGCCTGTGGATTCATGTTCCTCATCCTCTCTTCTGGTCACATCTTTGAGAATGCTCTAATGTGTTTCTAGAGTACATGTGGCTGTTGATCCCAGGATTGTATTTTCAGCCTTTGGGCGCATTATTAGAGGAGTAAAAGAGTAAATTGAGGCACAATAAAAATTTAAAGAGTTTGGCAGGTGCAATTCATGAATTGAAAAACACTGAATCAAAAGAGGTTTAATTTTTTTCCTTTTGGTATTGTGGATCATGCAATCTAGGAAAGCAATGGGCTAATGTTCTGATAACAAAGCATTGAATTTAAGGGCGATTGAAGAAGCAAAATAAAGAAATAGTCTGGTGGCAGTTATATTGCTGCTTATTTGATTTCCACCATTGGAAAGTTCCTCAATAAACTGTTTATTCTATTGGTTGAGCTTATGTTCTATTTTCTTTTAGTATAGGTACACATGAAACAGCTCAAGTTAAGGTTTGCCTGCGTTTGCAAATCAAGCCAAGGGTAAGGTCACTTATGAGGCCTGACTGGCTTTGTTGGCTCAGGGTATCTTTAGTCCTGGTCCCCATTTTAATTTGCTTTAGCCGAGGTCATCTCATACACCTCAAGTTCAAAGGTGCCCAAACCCTGAATCTGTCTTCTCTCTGTGGACCTGTCCCTGTCTTGGCTGTCCTACCTGCTCCCTAGTCAGTTCTCCCTTCCTGTAGCTCCTCCCACCCTATCAGGGCAACTTTTCCATTTCTCTTGGGAGTTATCTCAATGGACACCTGCTCCATGTGCCACTGTGTTTGTGTTACATTTGTTCTCTGTTTAATAGTGTGTGGCACACAGTTGCGACTCAGGGTATTTGTGGCTAATCTGTAAAAAGCAGTGACATTTGGAAACTGGATTTCTACTCCCTGGGGCAGCGGTAGAAATGCCAGGTTTAATCAGACATAGAAATTGTTCACTTTTACAGCCAAATGGTAGACCCTTGTTTCACACAGTGCTTGTAAACTATATTGGGTAGAAGGTGGGCATCCCCTGCTGGGAGGTGGGGCTGCTATGGTGCTATGTATCATGCAAGAGGTGCCTCTGTGGTCTGCAAGACATTGGGACAGACCACATGAGGAGACCTGCAGGGGCAGCAGTCAAGTCTGGAGCATGGGGTCCAAGGCCTAGTCCTAGGTCCACCAGACCTGGAGGTGAGATCAGGCAGGGAAGTCCTCTTTGCTATTGACAGTTCCTGTGAAGTTCCATTCTTAGTCCTCTGAGGTCTCAATTAGAGCTGGATCAAGGGCCAGGAAATAATAGAAGCTACATTCGTAGGGTCCTCTTTTAACCAAAGCACGGGGCATCCCTTTTGGTCTGGCCATCATTGCAGACCTAGGAGCTGGGCTCCTATAGGATTCTCCTCAACTGGGCCCTCAGAGCTGGGAGAGCAGGAGATGGACCTTAGGATGCAGTTTCCTCATCTTGTGTTGTTGTTTACCTTAGGCCCAGATCAACATCTTGGGTTTTATTTTTGTCAACTCGTCTTCCCTGAAACCTCTTAGAGCATTCTATACAGTCTTTGTGAACAGTGACACTCTTCACATTTATATTTTCTAGGTATATTAGTTTTCTGCGGCTGTCGTAACAGTGACACAGTGGGGTCTTAAATAACAGAAATTTACTTTCTTATAGTCGTGGAGGCTGGAAGTAAAAGATCCATGTGTGGACAGGGTTTGCGGCTTCTGTGACCTCTCCCCTGGGTGTGTAAAAGGACATCTTGTCTCTGAGGCCTCTTAGTCTTCCTTCTCTGTGTCTTTGTCCTAAGCTCTTTGTAAGTTCATCAGTCAGATCAGATCAGGGCCCACCCTAATGATCTCACTGTACTTTGGTAACCTCTTTAAAGACCCCCATCTCCAAATACTGTCATATTCTGAGGTCCTGTGGGCTAAGGCTTCAACATAGGAATTTGGGGAGGGCAAAATTCAGCCCGTAATGTTAAACTTGGATGTCACTCAATTCTGTGACATCTTTTGGCATGTGCCAACTGCCTGGATGGACAAAATGTGTGTTTCCTGCTCCTGCTCAGCTGATAGCCTACTTCATGGTGTGTCTGGGGGGCACCTGCAGAAGCCTTTGATGGCTATGGTGGTTGTGGGGCTGGTTGTGGGGCTTTAGGGAGTCTCTGCATGCTCCATGGATGGCTTGTGCCCCTTCTACATGCTGCATCTGTGCTCTCCCTGCAGCTTGGCGCCAATGCCCTGCTCTTCGTGGGTGTGAACATGTATGGTGTCTTCGTGCGGATCCTGACTGAGCGCTCTCAGAGGAAGGCCTTTCTGCAAGCCCGGAGCTGCATTGAGGACAGGCTACGGTTGGAGGATGAGAACGAGAAACAGGTCAGTGGGAGCAGAGTGGATAGGCCCTTTGGCCTGTCCCTGGCCCAGGACTTCAGGCACCTGAGTCAGTCGGCTGACAAGAGGCAGCTGTGGTTATGGAGTGGAGGAAGCTACCCACCATCTGTCCTCCCTGAGCCTCAGTTTACCTCTTGGTGACAGGGCCTGCAATTCTTAGTGTTATGTATTGGTATGTGGGGCTGTGGAAGAGACACCCTCCATATTTTATTAGTTTAGTGGATGGGAAATCTGAGCTTGATGCTCCTACAGAGGCTGAGTTGCTCGTGAGCCATGGGATAGTGATTGGGGGTGGCATTTGTGTGCATAATGTCCCTGATGCAGCAGGAAATGGTTCACCTGGCCTTAGAAGGACCAAATTGGTCCTGGCCACACCTTATGTGAATGTGAATGTGCAGCTGGCCCTGAGTTGTTGGCCTGAGGGACTCTGGGCAAGGACCTGAGGCATGTGCCAGCTCTGGCCTTGGCTGATTCCTGGGCATTCCTAGGGTACTCAGGAGCTATGCAGGAATCTTAGTGTTCACAGTGGCAGGCTCTAGCATGACCTGAGCACCCTCCTTGGGACTTCTTGCCATGGCCTGCTAAGGCGGCATGATTGGCACTCCATTCTCAAGGTGAAACAGGCTTGGAGGAGCCGTGCTTTAGTCCTACTTATCCCCTGTGGCTCAGCATTGTGTGTCTTTGCATAGGCTCTGTCCACAGGTGGACCAGGGAAGGGTGAGTCTCAGGGTGAGGCCTGGAGCATCATGGCCTCCCCTTTGCTGGGAGGATTCAGACTTCTCCCAGCTGGGGGCTCACAGGCCCTCTGCATACAGCGCTAATATCTCAGGTGTGTGGTTGTCAAGGAAGTGGAAGAACACAGCATCTGGTTCTCAACTGTATTCTACTTTTGTTGTAAATGTTATACTTACTGTAAATTTAAATATATGCACAAACATTTTTCCATGTGTATGCATTATAATGAAACCTACTAAGTTGGATATAATTGAGGAATAGATCACATATGTTTAGATTGTGTTTGGACATGTGGATGGACCTGTGGGGGACAGTAGGTGTCTGTGTGTTTATGTGTGCATGCATACTTGTAGATATGCATGTGTGGATATGTGCATATTTTCATTTGTATGCATATGCACACATATGTCAATGGGACTGTGTGTTCCTATGTCATGTGCATATCTATGTATGTTTATATGTCTGTGTGGTTGCATGTGAGTACATGTATCTCTCTCTGTGTATGTTAGCATCTGTGTACATGTACGTGTGTGTGTTGTATACTGTATGTGTGTCCATGCTCATGTGTGTGTGTAAATCATGCATCTTCTGAGACTGTGTCCTGAGCATTTCTGCCTTGACCAGAGTCATCACACTGGTAGCAATATCTTTTTGTACTTTCTAAGAAATGTTTGACCCTGTTTTTATTTCCTCAGTGAGATTCCAGAACTGAATCTTTAGAAACCCTGTTTCTCCCTTAAATTATATCCTCTGTAGTGCTGGAGAAAGCAGGCATTTTTGTGGGTCATCCTTGTGTGTGTTTCTGAACCACCCTTTCTTTTTCTCTGATTCCCTGCCATTTCCTTTTCAATACCTTTCTTTCCTACTTCCTCTGTTTTGTCAATTTTCATTTCTTTCTGACTTTTGCTGCTTCTCCTGTAGATCATCTTGCCTCTCAGTATGTTACTTTAAAAAAAAAAGTTTTCTTCTTATATCCCTTTAGGTTATTTTGTTTTTATTTATTTTTAAATTATTTTTTGATGAACATATTAATTGAATGTACTTATCAATTGAGTCCATTGTGGCATCTCAACATATGCATGTAGCAGCACCGATTGCATCAGGGTAGTTACGTTTCCTTCTAGTCATTTCTTATGTTTGGAGCCTTTGAGTTAGTGTCTAACAGATTTTTGTAGAAATGTATAACAGGTTGTGAAATGTAGTCACCCCACTATGATGGGGAACACCAGAACTTATTGCTTTTATCTAAGTTTGTTTCAGGTCCCATTGCCCAGCCTCCCTCCATCCTCCTCACCTTTGGCAGTCACTCTTCTCATATGTAGAAGCTACTTTTTTAGCTTCTACATATGAGAGAGATCATGCTACAATTGTCTTTCTAAAATGGCTGCCTTGGGCTGAGGCCATAACTAAGTGGTAGAGTGCTCGCCTCACACATGGAAGGCACTGATTTGATCCTCAGCACCACATCAAAATAAAGGTATTGTGTTCATTTACAACTAAAAAAAAATTTTAAAAATTAAATAAAATGGATGTCTTGTTTCACTTAATATCCCCCAGTTCCATTCATTTTGCTGCAAATGTCAGCATTTCATTCTTTCTTTATTTGGTATTGGGGATTGAACTCAGGGGCACTACAACCACTGAGCCACATCCCTGGCCCTATTTTGTATTTTATTTGGAGACAGGATCTCACTGAGTTGCTTAGTGCCTCACCATTGCTGAGGCTGGCTTTGAACTTGTGATCCTCCTGTTTCAGCCTCCCAAGGTAATCCCTCCTGGGATTACAGGCATGTGCCACTGTGCCAGGCTTCATTCTTCTTGATAGCTGAATAGTACTCCATTGTTCATATTTTCTTTGTCCGTTCACCCAGGCTGATTCCATATCTTAGCTCTTGTGCATAGTTCTGCAATAAACTCCTCTAGCTATGGCTGCTTGAAGGTGTAGCTTTACTTGGTTTTCTAGCAGTCCTGGGAGCCAGGGTTTATTTCTTAGCTCTATAGATGAGGAAGGCTAGGCTCAGGCAGGAAATTTCAAAATGGTAAATGTCACCCAATCCCATTAATCCAGCTGAATGCCCTCTTTTCAAGGTTTTGTCTTTATGTGTATTCTTTTGTCACATACTTGACACCTTGGCATAAAGAATTTTATTTTCTGCATTAAAATGGTTTCATTTGCACCACTTGCATTATAAATGTGATTTAAATCAACAGTTTCTTCTTCCCCTTAGTACATATGCTCCAGTGTTCTCAGCTTCTGATATTTAGATGCCATGCTTTCAAAAAGGTTTTCTTCTTGCACGTCTGCATTTATCTAGCTTTCAAATATTCTCTTAGTTGCATTGTTAGGTGAGTGAGTATAACCTGCTTCTCCCCCAAGTTCCTGAGTGTTTCCTAAAGGTTGTACTCTTATATATCTTTAAGAAGCAGTGTCTGATTACACTCTTCTCCCTGGAATGCTAGTGCTCTGTCTGGACCATGCCATCAGCAGCCCTAGGGAGCCTGTTAAAAATGCAGATTACGTGCTCTGCCCAGCCTGGGGGTGGGAAAGCCAGGCCCAGGCCCAGGGAGGGTTGGATTCTGGTGAGCAGCCAGTGGTGTTCTGTGTTGCATCTGATTCGCTTCCCATTCCCTCTTCTGCCTCCCATTATGTCTCTTTATCTTTCCCTCTCTTTATCTCTCTTTTCTCTGTTTTTTTTATGTGCCACTGTCTCTTTCTGTCTCTGTTTCTTCATATCCCTATCTCTGTATCTCTTTCTGTTTCTGTCTCTCTTTGTCCCATGTCTCTGTTTCTCGGCATCTGTCTCTTTCTCCCTGTCTCTGCCTCTCCATCTCCTTTTCTGTGTCTCTGTCTCTTTCTCTCTGTTTCTTCATATTCCTTTCTCTGTCTCTCTTTCTGTCTCTGTCTCCATCTCTGTGTTTCTCTGTCTCTGTCTCCTGTCTCTGCTCCTGCATCTCCTGTTTCTCTCTTTCTTTCTGTTTCTTCATATCCTCTCTTTGAGTCTCTTTTTCTCTCTCCTTGTCTCCATTTCTGTTTCTCTGTGTATCTCTCTCTCTTTCTCCCCTGTCTCTGCATATCCATCTCCCTCTCTGTGTCTGTCTCTTTCTCTCTCTGTGTCAGGCTGTGGCCCCTCCTGCTTGTCCTGTCCCTCCCATTACTGATGCCTCCTCTACTCACCATCTGTATTTCTTTGTTAATTGTACACTTGACTCTCATATGAGCTGTGTGCACAGCTCTCCCCACCACAGAGAGGCAACACTCTGTCCACAGCCCCGTCTTTCTCGGTCCATTCCCCTAGCTTGGCTTTTCTTTATATGAAAATTCAATCCTTAGTGTTTATAGTTTCCTTCATGGTTTCCCCTGTTGCCTCAAAGTAGAGCTCATGTTCTGATAGTTGAGTATTGAGTAAGGACTTGGCTTTTGTGAGTTCCCAACTCCACCTTGAGATCTCTGCAGACCCTCCTTTTGCTGTATTTTTCTCTGGATCTCCTCTGAGCTTAGTGTTGTATCTCAGGAAGACTATCCTACTAGGTGGGCTGGTACCCAGGACTCAGATGCCTGGTCTCTGGGATGGCAGAAGTAAGGCAGCACCAGGACCCAGCAAGGCCTTCCAACTTCTGGGTTCTCAGGCATCATGGGCTCACGGTCAATCTGCATCTGTCTAGGGGGCCTTCTGGAGATGAGGGAGCAGCTCTGCTCCAATCTCCCTGTATCAACATGAAATCATAGCCTCCTCCAGCAATAGGTGAGGGACCCTCTACCAGATAGCTATGTGACTGTAAGTTCCATTCATGGCACAGTTGTATCCAGTGGTTGCTTCTAAAGCCTTCTCCACCCATGTAGACTGTTAAGGCAACATGATGGGTGATTGGAGGGGATCTGGAAGGACATACCTGATGCTGGGGGAAAGGACCTGGGACATGCACCCTAGTTCCAGGAGGAGAACTTGGCTCCTTCTACTTCTGGGAGGAGTTTTGGGATTGCACCTGGGGTCCTGGAAGATCTGGGCAGTGGAACCCAGTCCTGGGAGGGGTCTGTGCCTGTGCAGGAGTGAGATGCAGGGCAGAGTTCAGAGGGGCTAGAAGGAGAGGCCTGAGTAGGATGAGACTCAGGGAATCAGCGTGGGCAGAGACCCTAGCGGGGTGCTCCAGTGTGTGTGGTGCTTTGGGGCCTCTGGGGCCTCAGCTGGTGCTAGAGAGACCTGAAGGTGGATCGGAAAGCAGGGCTGGTTTGGAGTGTCTCTGCTGTGGCT